TTAATGAAAATCCTTGTAAGACATTCATTAACACCTGTAAAGAAAATAAAAAAAAATGTTTTAAAAATATACATTCAACATAAAATTATATAGTCATTTACTAATAAAACTAAATGTTGATTTATTAGATGCAAATGCAGCAAACACCTTCTATGTCTTCTTTAGTTTGCATTTATAATTGGTATTGGTATAGTATTTTTAACAAAGCTTTTGCCGTTTTATTTTTGTAAAATTTTTAAAGATATATCCATGGTATTTTTAACAAAGCTTTTGCCGTTTTATTCTTGTAAAACTTTCATGGTATTTTTTACAAAGGTTTTGCCGTTTTATTTTTCTAAAATTTTCAAAGATATCCATGATATTTTTAACAAAGATTTTGCCTTTTATTTTTTTGATTTGTTTGAATAGACAGAAAAGCGTATGCGCTTTGCTTTTTTAATAATATTGAATTAATCCAATTTTCATACAAACAACAAACACTAGGCCACATATAATCATATATAAATCCATATATACATTCATATAACCAAATCCTATATAAACCACAAACAGTAGGCCATATATAATCATGTATAAATCAATATATCCTTTTATATATCTAAAATTCATACAAACCACAAACACTAGATCATACATAATCATGTATTACAATTTCCATACATACCAAGTACACTATGCCATATATGACCATGTATAAATCAATATATACATTTATATATCCAATTTCCATACAAACCACAAACACTAGGACATATATAGTCATATGTAGATCAATATATACATTTATATATCCAATTTCCTTACAAGCCAGCTATGCCATATATAATCATGTATAAATCAATATATACATTTATATATCCAATTTTCTTACAAACCACAAACATTAGGCCATATGTAGTCATGTCTAAATCAATATATATTTATGTATCCAATTTCCATATAAACCAAGTACACTATGCCATATATAATCATGTATGAATCAATATATACATTTATATATACAATTTCCATATAAACCAAGTACACTATGCCATATATAATCATGTATGAATCAATATATACATTTATATATACAATTTCCATACAAACCAAGTACACTATGCCATATATAGTCATGTTTAAATCAATATATACATTTATATATCCAATTTCCATATAAACCAAGTACACTATGCCATATATAATCATGTATAAATCAATATATACATTTATATATCCAATTTCCATATAAACCAAGTACACTATGCCATATATAATCATGTATGAATCAATATATACATTTATATATACAATTTCCATATAAACCAAGTACACTATGCCATATATAATCATGTATGAATCAATATATACATTTATATATACAATTTCCATACAAACCAAGTACACTATGCCATATATAGTCATGTTTAAATCAATATATACATTTATATATCCAATTTCCATATAAACCAAGTACACTATGCCATATATAATCATGTATAAATCAATATATACATTTATATATCCAATTTCCATATAAACCAAGTACACTATGCCATATATAATCATGTATGAATCAATATATACATTTATATATACAATTTCCATATAAACCAAGTACACTATGCCATATATAATCATGTATGAATCAATATATACGTTTATATATCCAATTTCCTTACAAACCACAAACACTAGGCCATATATAGTCATGTGTAAATCAATATATACATTTATATATCCAATTTCCATACAAACCAAGTACACTATGCCATATATAATCATGTATAAATCAATATATACATTTATATATACAATTTCCATACAAACCAAGTACACTATGCCATATATAATCTTGTATAAATCAATATATACGTTTATATATCCAATTTCCTTACAAACCACAAACACTAGGCCATATATAGTCATGTGTAAATCAATATATACATTTATATATCCAATTTCCTTACAAAACAAGTACACTTTGCCATATATAATCATGTATAAATCGATATATACATTTGTATATCCAATTTCCATACGAACCAAGTATACTAGGCCATATATAATGATGAAAACATTAATATATACATTTATATATTTAACTTCATGAGTTTGCTAAGTGAAATTAAAATGTAAAATAAATAAATGAGTATCTATCCACGGATATTTAAATTATTTTATATTCAGTTGTCGTTTAAGAACTGTCAAACGTTAGACGCCGGTGGCGGCATCTAACACAGAACACTATGAACCCGGTAGTCACTACGTAGTTCCCAACAAACTGGGAACGATTTTGCATAGAGGCGCTGCAAGCGTCATGCTTCACAGGGATGGCGGGATATTTGAATGCACTTTCAAACTTGGAGAAACGTTTTGATATAAATTGTGTAAATAGTCTATGGTTTTAATTTGATATTTATTATATACGATTTGAGTAAAATGTGTTTAAAAAATCTTCAGAACAATTTGGTATAGTCAATTCAAATTACAATTAAAATTCAAATTATACCGAGTTACTGTAATAAACGTCAATATCTTTATATTAAAGTTAATTCTAGGTGAACTACACCTAATAAAAATAAAATAACATTACTTACATTTATGCTTATTTATCTATGATTGCTTACACAGTTTACTATCAACATTACTGTCAACAAGTTTGACAAATTAAAATTTGTAACCTCAAAAACTGTAATATAGATGTAATGTTTAAAGCAACAAATTCATGTTTTCATAAATTGTTTTGAATTTAATAATTATTACGATGTAAGCAATAAATCAATTCATTTGTTGAAAATATTCAAGAACTATTTATTTAAAATCATGCACAACTGTTTGCCAAAATATTTATGAATACATAAACATAAACCACTTCGCATAAAATTTAAAATATAAAACATTATTTGGTACTTACATAAATCATATATTCATAGAAAAAACACAGTTTTAAATCAATCATCTATGGTATAAAAATTTATTACTAATAAAGACACTTGTACAAGCAGGGCTCAGCACAGACTGTTGATTTATTTTAATAATATTTACAACAAAAATTGAACATTGAGTATAACCTAAATATATATAGACTGGTAACATAGTTTTCAGTTTCAATAAAAGCTTTTTCCAAAGAAAAGTACAGTAGCAACGGCCAAACGCAATAAAGAACCATCAATTGTTCGTGAAATTGGATACTTTGAAAAATTATTTGCTTATTTTTTAACTAAACATGTTAGAAAAATATGTGTTGATTTTAAGATTCAAATTGAGGCTTTATTCGACAACGGTAATAATCACCTCGGCCACGATACATATTGCAAATCATTTGCTGAGTATATATAAAAACATACAGATTGATACTTGCAAACGTTTGTCGCCATCTCGATACGTTTAATTCTACTTAAAATATTTAAATAATAGCTATAAATTATGCTAAAATGGTTGAAAATAACTATAACGAATTTGTTCGAACAAGTTGAAATATGTGAAGTTTAGAAATTATTTGTACTCACCTTATAAAGAATCTGGTCATTGTGGTAAACACAAAATTTTTAAAAAAGCCTAAAAACGAAAAAAAATCCCAGTCGGCTATTTTTGATTTAATAACATTTTATGCAATTTTGCAAGCAATTTTAAATCGATTTATATTTTGTAAAGAATAAATACCAAGAAAAATTTAAATAATAATGATACATACACACATATGTATGTATATATATTTATGTATATATATATATATATATATATATATATATAAGTCGGGTTTTCCTTCCTGACGATATAACTCCAGAACGCACGAACCGATTTCGACAACTTCGCATTCGTTGAAAAGGTTTTCGGGCTCCGCCCGGTTTATAGCTAAGAAAATTAGTGGTGCATGGCAATGTGCCTTAATGCAAATTGCAGGAACTTCACGCACCGTAATTAAAAATTCTAGTAATGACATTAGTAAGAATTATCAGATTTATGCTTGGTTAAGTTAACGAGCAATTCTTGCCGCAAAGAATAATGATGTACACGCACTGAATTTCGCCATTCAATCAAAAATTGCTGGCGATTTGGTGACATACCAATGATTCCTACTGGTCTTCCGTTTGACTTCAAACGATTGCAATTTCCAGAAATTTCTTCATCTTTCTCACGAAACCACCTGGTGGCGAAACAAAGTTCGTCGGGTTTGCTAATATATATATATATATATATATATATATATATATATATATATATACATATTATAATTCTAGTTCTATATTTTTTTTTAAATTTTTATAAACTTCAAATGATATATAAATTCATATTGACAAGAAACTTAACTTAAATTATAAATATTTCATCATAAATTTAATAATTAAATATCTATTAATATTACAAAGTAAATAATTATACACTACAGTGAGAATAAATATAAATTATAAACATTAAATGTATACTGTAAGAACTCAAATAATTATTTTTCCTTTTATAAGAAAATTGCATTCGATATTTGATAGAATTAGAAACTAGATGTGCATCAAAGGAATTCATTATTATCTATAACAAAGTTATCATTTCCTTTATTCAAAATTATTTTACTTAAATATTTATTATGATAAAAAATACTAAAATTAATACATTTTCATAAAAAATATGCAATAATCATAATTTTTTCCCTAAAAAATACATTTAATCCGGTGTCTCCTAAACCTCGTCGTACTATCCGGACTTTTAGAATGTCATGCGTCTCATTCATGCATCCTCATCAACTACCCTCCCATCTCACTCTCACAGAACGAAAGCTCCCGAACTTTATTCGCCCTCCGGCAAAAGCTCTGTGATCGCCTCTCCGAGCTTTCGTATTCAGTCCACCGTCGACCAGCGAACCGCGCGGACGCACGGCGAAGGAAAGAAAGAAACAGTCGTTATAAATAAATTTAAAATAATAATTCTAAATGAAAAAAAATATTATGTCCAGTCTACATACATATTTATCATAATGTCATAATTTATTAACACTTGAATAATTATTTTATGAACTCAGAAAAAGATTTGCGTGTAAATTGTGCGTGAAAGTTGTGTGTGAAAAATGCCTTCAGTTTATTTTACTGTAAAGTGGATTTTCTTGTTATTACTTGCAGGTGGTTGTATGAAAGGTAAATCTCAAATTCCAAGAGTTTAATTGTACATTTAAATGAAAATGTAATTATTTTGTGTTAACAAACATAACACAAGGAATTAAATGTAAATTGCTAGTATATATATATATATATATATATATATACATTATATAATAATAATATACTAGATGAATATGGATCTATTTATCAAAAATTCTTAAATATCTACATAATTTTATCTTCTTATTATTGTTTATTACTTTAATTGCTTTATTTGTCATTTTCTCATATTAACAAATACTAAAATTTTCATAATTCTTAATAATAATTTATGTTATGATATTTCCTTATAATTATAATGATTAAAATCTATAATAAATCATTTATAAGAATTTGAATCCTAATTGTGCAAAAAATGATATTTATTTTATGATAATGATGATAATAATTTTATAATAATAAAAATGATATATAATATTTTATTTAAATTAAAAATATTAATTTAAATAAAATATATTCAAGTTTTGCACAATTTGGATTCAAATTCTTATAAATGATATATATTTTAATTATTATTATTACAGTACTAAAAAATTTTTAATATTAAACACCCATTATTTTTTTATATGTAATTGCATTTAATTAACACAAATTTCTTCTAAAAATATAATGGTTTGGCTAATATATATTTTATTTATTTATTCAAATAAATAATTTGTGCTCTATTGTTATAAATAGAGTATGTTTTGTTTCAAAATGTTTAATATTATTAATTTATACTAATATTATATTCCAAATTATTAACTTCCCGAAGGAGAAGTTTATGTTTTCATAAAAAATCCGATTCGCCAATTTTATGTTTTCTTGACGTTTCAAGCTAATCTGAATCGAGTGAGACCAAATTTGGAAAAAGTATGTGTGTGTGTATGTGCACAGATTTTTTGTTGTTGTTATCAATTTATATTATTATTTATTTAAATTATAGTATGATCAAAAACAATTTATTTAAATACATATTTTAAAACTTCCATAAAGCGTTTTAATTTGCTTCAAAGCCATATATATAATATTTAATAAAATATTTGCTTTTATTAAATTGATTAATTATTAATAACATTATTTTATTATATTTCATATAATTTTTTATATAGTTTAATACTGAAACATTATTTTTAAAACATACAAATATATAATTTTTCTATTATGTTATATTCATATTTATTATTTTATGGTAATATAATATTTCAAGCCATTGTTTATTTTGTTTATCAATTAATTTTCGATATTTATTGTTATATAGAATTTATTTGTTATAATTTAATATATCATCGTGTTACTATTTACAATTTAGTAGCATTTAATTAAACAATTTATTTTAAAATATTAGTTATTATTCCAATAGCAAATTGTTTACAGAGAATATTAACTGTACTATTTTATTGTTAGTTATATTTTGTTTTTCCTTCAATAATAATAGAAGAAAATTGAACAATCTATTTAAAAATTATAAAAAAACTTTGTAGAAATTATATTATAAACGTATATCAACTTTATATACTATTGTTATCTTTTCGTACAAATTTGCAATAAACATATTTGTCATACTGATAAAAATTATCTGCAGAGTTCAGGACTTCTTGATATAAAAATAGATTAATATGCATATATTATATATTAATTATATATAAAGTTTAATAGAGTACTTTGCAATAATAAAATTACTATTTTTATGGTGATACTTTATTATTGTTTTTTGAATGTATTGTTTATAATTATGATTTTAAATTTGTACTTATAATTACAGATTTAAGATAGATCTAATTGATTTGTATAGTTTTCGATATTTTTAAACGATTTATGAACTGATTAATAATAATTGTATTAATATATACAACATAAATTAACTGCTAAAAAGTAACAAATGTGGGAAATTAAAATAAAAAAAATTATTTGCGATTTTGATACAGAAGACACTTTTTATTTTATGAAGTCGATGGGTTTAAGGAAATACTAATTTATTTAAAAATTTCAAAATTTTAAAAGAATCTTTTTAATTTATGAACCTAATAGCTTTAAGAAAATGCAAATTTATTTTAAAAAAAACTGAATAACTAATTTATTTTATTTGGTTATTTAATTAATTATACTAATATTTGAAATAAATATTAATAATAATATTAATCATCAAGAATCAATATTTTTGTTAATAATAAAATTAGTTCCTTTGATTTTAAAAAATAATAACCGATCCTAAATTATTAGTAATATTAGTAGTAATTTAATGTTTATTTATTAATAACAGTAATTATAAAAAATGAGTTATGGTTGATACATTATAATTTAGAAATATTCAATTAGTATTACAACTTTTTCATTAATAAAATATATAATGTTATATAAAATATGATTTTGTTTCATAATCTCTCATACCAGATACTCCTGTCTGACTGAGATATGAAAATAATATATAAATAAATAAATGAAAAAAGTTAAAAAAAACGGTTAAAATTAATAAACAATAATAATACTAGTTCAAGTGATAAACTAATTTATTGAATTTGGAAATGAGTTCATTATTTTCAATACTTTTTAAATATTTTAACAATGAAGCAAACTGAAAACTTTTATTTTTAGAATGAGAGTATTTTCTTACCAAAATTTTCAAAGTCTCCTTTTATTTTTCTTTTCAGAAGTGAAATGTTTAAGAAATGTGGTAATGACGATACCAGAAGCAGTGCCAAGTGGAGAATCCGTGGTACTTCAATGCCATTATGATCTAGAAGGTAAATAGATTTGTAAATAATTAAATATAATAAAAATTACAAATATATATATATATATATATATATACGAGTATATATATATATATTTATAAAGTCCGTGCCATTATTTTATTTATAAAAAATCATTTTCATGAGTATACTGATTTGTTTACAGTCAATTACCCACTAATAGCCGATTATCAAATACACAATTTATCTCCTGTTGTTTCAGAATTGTTTGAACAAATTAATTTCAAGCAAATTATTGGTAATTATGATTTAACAACAGAAGTTCTCATACAAAACCGTCGAACGCAATCGACCGTTCGATTGGATGCCGATTAATTATTTATTTATTTAATTAATTAATTATTTGCAGAGTGATAAACCAAATTGATTAATTAGTCAGCATTCAGGTGCTGCACATATATTTACACACACATGCAAATATATATTATAAACGATATGCGAATCACTCTAATTAAGTGATTTTCTGGGATCTTAATGAGTATATTTAGTTATCGTAAGAGTTTAGTATTAGGCAGACATGTAGATTATTTAATTTTATACAAATTACAGAAACACATCAATTATTATTAATTTTAATTAAATGGTTTAGGAATTATGGAAGGTGGTTAAAAGACTTTTTACCCCATACATGCTCATAGCTCAAAAAAAAAAAAAACTACAATATTCATTTGACGTCATTGTTTTCAACTTTGTTATAAGGTTTGAACAAATTAAAATTTGTTTATATTGCCTGATGAGTATACTAATTATAGCGCAAGATTAGTTATCCAAAAATTATCTACGATTTAAAAAATATATGTACATTTTTATAAATAAATATTGTTAGTTACAATGGTTTTTACAACAAACTTGGTCTTTATTATTTATTTATGATAAGTGAAAAATTGCTATTAAAAACAAATTAAAACAAAAAATGTTAGAAAAAGTTGAGACTAATTTAGTAGTAATAATATATTTAGTTATCGCATATTTCATAATAACGGGTAGTCCATCTAGTGGTCCTATTGATCTAGTGATCTTACGGTTTAGATATTTCTGTAAAGAAAACATATAAAGTATTACACATCGTTAGAAAGGTTTCAAAATTCTTAGTTTTTTTTCCCATATATCGCAACTTCAAATTCCGCACGGTGTGGTCTACAGACAAGTTGCTATCGATAAATTTCAATTTTTAAATGGGCTACCCTATAGTTCAAGCATTAAATTAATATAGATTCTGAAAATCTATTGTTAATTGTGTATTAAAAAAAAATTAACTAAAATTAACTCAATCCAAGAAAACTTACCAACTAATTAAATTTATGTAATCAACTAAGTTTGAAAATAAAATAATTTTTTAATCTTAGCTAAAATTAATCTTAGGACTATGTCTACATTATTACTAGAGGTTCGTTTGACAAAATTAATTTATCATAAGCGCATTTATATTATAAATCGTGAATAACTTTTAACCTTTTCCACCTGCAAATTCCGAGATTTATATGAATTTTGCCACCGGAGAGGCGGCATTCGAGTGGAAAAGGTTACAATATTAGTTTACTATAAATAATACCTCTGAACCATATGAAATTCAACAGTTAAAAATGTGGTCTAACAACCAAGTTCTTAAATCAACTCGACGTACTCATAATCGGCTATTAAAAACAACAAAAACACATTAGATGAAAACCTTATAACTAAGTAATTGTATCAATTAAATCTCTGGACCAAAAGTCAATCACCCTACCTTTCTTCCAGGAGACCCTCTTTACACCGTCAAGTGGTACCGAGGGCGAAGCGAGTTCTTCCGGTCCGGTACCTGCCCAAAGAGTTGCCCCACACTCGCACCTTTCCCGGAGCGGGGGGACTGTCGGTCGACGAGAGGCGCTCGGGGCCCCATCAGGTGGTCCTGAAGGACCTGACGCCTGCTATGTCTGGCCGGTATAGGTGCGAGGTGTCGGCGGACGCACCATCGTTCGACACCGCCATGGTGGCCGGAACACTCACTGTAATAGGTTGGTATAGTTTATGGTTTGATTGAGGTGTATTTGTACTTGGTATATAAATCTAAAGCAAATCGATTAATGAATTTGTACAAAATTATTTAATCTATGATTTTGTCTAACATCACAAGGTCAAAGAAACTCAATATACTTTACATTGTATTTGGATGTATACAGTTGATCATTAATTGGATGGTGCCTTAAAAAGATTATCTGGTCTTGAGATACGAATTTTATGCGATTTTTGAAAAGCCGAAAAAAAGCAAACAATACTATATTTGAAAAGCCGATATTTTGAGAATTAAGACAAAAATAAAAATTAATTACTTACCCTACTAGTCTAAGAGTCAGTGAACTACTTGACTATCCTGTTTTCACAAAGCTAGAAATTTTTTGAATGATATTTTATTATCGAAAGTACCATTCTGGCAGTCATTCCGCAGTTGCGTCATCATCCCTTCAATTTTGGAAAATGTCAAAACAATATTTTTTATGACTTGCTCCCACAAAGCTCAAATGTTGAGGGTGTATTCTTTTAACTATTCAGAAAGTATATGTGAACAGCCAGCCCATTCTGACGGCGGCAAGGGTCTGCCAGTCGAGTACATAATAGTTACGACGAGCAAGGTTGTGGGCGCAATGCCATATATAATCGGCTAAACCCTTATATTTAAATAATTTGTACGCCATTTTGAAGGTCTTTTTGAAAACATCCGATATACCAAATTTCAACTTTGTATCTCATCTTATGACCGAGATATCATTGAAAATATGCCAAAGTGGCCCTTTTTTTCAAACTCAATTTTTGGCGTAACCATAAAGAAAAAGAAACTATGTGATTCTACTCACATTGGCTAGACCACATAATGTATATTAATATATGCTAAATAATCATTTATTATTAGCTTAAAAGGATAAAATAATTTTTCAATTTATGTTTTCGGATAGTGCGTTTTGTTTAATTACTTTTTTATTAGCGTTATTCGAAAACCTATTATTTTTTCTTTTAGTACTGCAAATATTGTTCAAATCAAATATGTGGAACACATGGAAAAACTATACGGACTATACGGACTATACGGACAAGTAAAAAAATTTTTTTACAGAATGTCGACTATCTGAAAAAAAATAGTTTGTACAAATTTTTTTTTATTATAAGTTTAAATAATAAAAAATAAATTAAAGCCTAAATAATAGTTAATATCGAAATTAAAGCTCGTATTGAATATATGTCTATAAAATTCAAGTGTCAATGATAAATTTTGAGGAATTTGTAGAAAATCAAATAATCTTTAAAATGTCTACTTATATTATAATTCCATGCAATAATTCGGTATATTTTGTTATCGTTTTAAAAGTAGACTATTTATATTGTTGCATATGTTTGTTAAATTGTTCAAAACTCTTAAAGCATTCGATCAATGTGAATGATGTATGAGAAAAGTTTATGATAAATTAAATCATTTACATTACCGTTAATAAAATAATGTATAAAAACAAATTAGTATACCTTAAAATTTGGTAGTTAGTGGCAAGGCAATCAAATTCAATATAAAGTAGAAATTTTAATGTTTTAGAAATTTAAAAGTTAGTGGTAAGGTATTCAAATTCAATATAACGTAGTTAATTCCTAACTGATTAGTGTATTTTTTCATTACATTCTCTTATAACTCTCAAACCATTTGGTTGATTTTGATGATGCACTCCGGAAGTTTGTACGAAAATGATTAATATGTAATGATGTCTAACAATATACCATCCTATAGTAACTCGGTATACTCTAAAACCACATTTGAAGATATAGTGTTATTCAAGATGTTTATATTTATTATATTTGATGAAGTATGAGGTAAATTCTTATGCATCATAATATTCTTAAATTATTATCGAATATAAATTTCTGACACGTTTAAAAGTAACTTTTCGATCAATTCCATCAATATGAGTGATGTATATACATCCCGGTCCACCTGCATAAACAAACTCCAGCAAGCAATTTAAAACAATACTTTCCAATTCTAAAAATCCATTAGAGCACAAACAAAAGAAAATGGGCTACGTTGGAGCAGTTGGGAGTGCTCCACCCTCTCCCCTTTGCTCCTAACTCCATTAATTCAATCTGTAGTAATTTACTTTGCGCTTAAACTTCACAAAATCTGTACATCTCTTCGTTTTTTTTTTCCTCTTTGCGAGAGCATTAGCATAACGATTGCGCCTTCGCCATAAACTAGATCGTTGCGATAAAAAGGTGTTCCCGGGGGCGAAATAGACAGGGGGGCGCACCGGTGGGAGAGGAACGACGCGTTAGCCCGCTTGTGTAACTCGTTCATGTACATTTTTTTTTTCACTGAAAGTCTGGTAAATTTGGAAACAATAGATTGATTGATGAATAATTTGTAAGGAAAAATTGTATAATCGTAAATTATATTCAATACGACTGTACGTTAATAATACGTTTTAATATTACGTATAATACGTAAATTAAATGGGACAATACTGTATAGTCCCACAACATTTGCTGCTTAAAAACACGCCATGCCAAACTATAGCCTGATCAACCCATAGCAACAATTGGAACGCACTTATAAGAACATATTGCTTTTGTATTTCTCTCTTTAAGACAATTCTTATGGACTTTATTCATTTTTCAAAAATCGTTGTGGGATTTTTTAAGTAATTCTTAAACCTTTTATTTTTTCCACATGTCTGATATAATGCACTAATTTACACTATTGCATATGAAATCTATAGTAGTAAAATATTTAATATAAGTAAAATTGTAATACCTGAGTGTAAAAAATATTATGCATCACCCATAACATGTGAACTACAATATTTATTGAAATAATGAAACTGCACTTTTAAATCGCAATTGAACTCAAATAATTAATTAGATTATACTTATGTATGTGCATCGAATTTAATATTCAGTCGAGTTCCAATGTATTCGTGAATTTATCCATTGAATCTCTCTTGTAACTTTTAAACAATTTGATTGATATAAATGTTGAATTTAGAAAATTTGTACAAAATTAAATAATCTAAACTATTTATCTAATATTAAAATATAGGTATATTTTGAAATCGTTCAAGAAATTGGTTACAAAAAAATAATTATAATAACATATTATAAATAAATTCACAAATAATTTATAAATTGCAATATTTTATTACAAAGGGTGCTCATTAAATATATCATTTAACTTAAATCTTTAATACTCTTACGTAGAGCACATTTAAATAAACTTATAATTTTTTTATGTTATAATAAGTAATAAAATACCTACTTTTGTCTATTTGCAATACCGATTTGAGATAATAACCAATATTTGTTATTATAGGTAATTTATAAATAAATAACTTTGTCAAACATTTGTTATGTAGGAAGTACGAATTAAACGTTACAATAGATATAATAAATTTAAAGTAAATGGGACAAAATCGCCTAATTTAGTTACAATTTTAAAGTGTACCAAGTTGCTGTTCAGCCAAAATATTATCCATTATCGTAACTTATCTAATTTTGCACAGAATACTTGTATACACCATCCATATCATCCAACTGCTTTAAAAGTTACAAGAGATATAATAAATAAATGTCCACGTCCCTTTTGAGAAATAACGTCCAAGATGCAAATCCCTGATATAAGAGAATTAGGAGGAAATTGCGTCTTAATAATAATTAAATTGTAAACGCGTTAGATTTACGGATTTTCTCCAAAGAGAGGAGAAAGGAACAAATTCTAGGAAATCTCTTGCAGTCCGGAAGAAAAAATATCATAATTCTTGAAAAGAATTTTATACAAACGCATATTTAAATCGCTTTGTAATACACATCGTTTGTACTACAATTTTACAATTTTATTATATTATTACACAAAGTGTCAACAAATACTGAAAATTATAAGTCAATCTAAATTATTGAAGATTTAAGTTAAATGATATATTTAATGAGCTATCTAGAACGCACTAAAATCTTGCAATATGAGTTCATTTTAGTAATAAATACTAAAAATGATAAGATTGCTAAAATTTATACTTATATGTAATTTTATTCTTTAACATTTTTTTTATTGTAATAGATTTTATCAAAATATGCTTTTTGAAAATTCTAATCCATCATCAGACGACAATTTTAATGAGCTCTACGGGACTTTGCTTATTAATTAATACGAGACCTTGAGCATTACAGACTTGATTTACACAATTATGTCTTAATTAAACCTAAAAAAAGAAATAAATATTTATGAACCATTCCACGATTATCTCGATATCGTACTCAAAAGACGGCTTCCTTCTTAATAATAAGTCAGAAACAAGTCTCGTAAAAGGGCCCCCGAACACGCCATCAAGAAAAAAACGAAGAAAAGGGAAAAAACAGTTCGTTTTCTAATGGCCTACAGAAATGGCATAAGATTTATGCCCATAACGTTTTGATAAGAAGGAAAAACCGAGGAAATAACGTTAAAGAAAACTCGTAAACAAATGAGTGATCAGTATCTTATCACGTTCGCCATTAATCAAGTGGGCAAAAGCGGGATACTTTTTTATTATCCGGGGGGCACGCTGGTCGGTTGTTTTTATTTTACATCACATGACTTGATTTATTAAAAAAGGATTCAAAAACAATTTCAATGAAAAGCCTAAAGGCACCCATAAAATAATCATTATTCGTTTAAGTCATCTTCAAGGAGAACATTACTCCCTTTTTGCGATCCAGAAAGGATTTTATGAGCCAAGAAGCTAAATATACACCAAAGTAAATAGATTTGAAACGCTTCTTGTTATTTCTGTAACGGAAATATGAAATTAAC